ATTTTTCAAGACTATATAAAAATTATTTTAAAACTTAAATCTTAAAATAGTCTTAGAAAAATCTTAAAATCGTCTTGAAAAAATCTTAAAATAGTCTTAAAAAAATCAAAATAATTGTTAAAAAATCTCGGAATTTTTTTTTTGGCATCTTAAAAGAATCTTAAAATAGTCTTAGTTTGTGTCACGTTTAAGATCTTAAACGAACGACAATTTTAAGACGATTTCTTTTTACACGGGATATATTTAATACCAATTAAATTATTAATAAAAAAAAATTGCAGGTGTGAAAATTAAAAAAATTATTAGAAAAGTTTTAAAGCATTTTTTTTTATTAATTTTTTATAAGAATTTATTTAGATAATTATTAAATTATGGGTATAATATTTTAAATGAATAATGAGATTTAGTTCTTCTATTATAATGCTTTTATTAAATTATGACTCGAAAAGAATATCTTTACAAGGAGCGCTCTTGTAACCAACTGACTAAGACTCAACTGAAAAAGTACGACGATCTTTCAGTCAGACGCTCTTAATTAATAATAACAATAATAATAATAAGACTTATAACTAACTTACTACTATATACTTATTTCTATAAACATATCAAAAATATCCTTATATCATATTAACATCTTTTATCATATAAACATTAATTCCTCGAAATACACGGAGAAAATTTTATAGTAGAGTTTATTGTCTAGTTATGTTAGAATCTATTAACTGAATTCGATAGTAGTAAATAGTATTTAAATAATTAAGTAAACCATCTGAATTGTAGTATTTACCATCCTGATGGTAACTACTACTATTATAATGGTAATTAGTAATGATAACTGTTATTATTTTAATTAGTTACTACTATTATGAAATCGTAATTTCTGATATAACCTGATGGTTGTAGTTACCATCAGTAATAATAATAATTACTATCTAAGCTAGTAAAAAATTAAGAATCTTCGTTACCGTGGATGCATTTTTTTTTTAATTTTAAATTTCCAAAAAAATCAAAATTTTCAATAAAATTCAAATTAAAAAAAAGAAATTAAAATTTCAAAAAAAAAATTTTGGTGGGAATTTAAAATATTTTAATATTTCAAAGGAAAAAATGTACATTAGCTAAAATATGAATCTAAATAAAGGATTTAATTAAGTAAATTTATATTATTTTTTCTTTCAAAATTTTTACAATCTGAGATGGTTACAGTTACCATCTTCGATTGTAACAGTTATAATTTATAATAATTATTTTTGATAGTAATCGTTACCATTATTAATAGTAACTATGACAATTGTCAATGATACCACCTATTGTTTTGTTACTAATTAATTTTATTACCATTTTAGATAGTAGGAGTAACTATTTTTGTATAGTAGGTAGTATAATTAATTTTTCTCCGTGTAGTATTTAATACCATGGATTAATTTTGAACTCTGGCGTCTAAATAATGACGCATATTCCAACAATAATAAACTTTATTAATAAAATTAAAAAACAAATTATTAAACTTAAATTACAATATAAAAAAAAAAAATACTTATAATAATTTTATTCAACAGGGAAAATCATTGATAGTCGATGAACGAGGATTTGTTTGTAAACGTCAAGAGCTTCTATCAACAGGCTGTTGTAAAAATGAACAAGAAAAAATATCAGACAACGGTGATAATTCTTTAGTAAAACGCGAAAGATACAGCTGTGAAACTTGTAACCCGCAAGGATGCTGCGCTATCTATGAATATTGTGTTTCATGCTGTTTACATCCAGCTAAAGTAAATATATCATTTTTTAATTATATTAAATTTAATTAATCTAAATAAGTCATAATTATTTTCCTGATTTTTAATATGAAAATAAAGTTAGCCGACATCTAAAAAATTTATTATTTTTATTTTAAAAATTTAAATTTTGTGATTTTTTTATTTTTAATTGTTCATTTTTTTATGTATTTAAAAAAAAAAATATATTAATAAAATTAAATAGAAATTTCATTCAAAAAAATGAACATTAATATTGTTGACTCCACTTGTAAATATTTACCTTAATTTTTTACTAAAAAATTGCTCATTTTTTTCAAAACAAATTTTTTTTCTCAATGCATAAAAAAAACAAACTGATATAAAAACCAAAGAGTAAAGAGTTAACTGTGTCAGTTTGTAAATTGGCGGTTAAATCGTCATGTCCTAAATAAACAGTTTGGTAATTGGAATTAATTTAAATTTATAAAATTACAGGAGTGCATTGTGGTCTGTGTGGTTTTGCTTGAAGAAACAAACATAACTCCAGCGAACGTGCCGTACAACCAGTGCAAAGAAGTCCGCCGAGAAAATTCACCTACGTCAAACATCGACAAGCTAACGACAATCGTATGCGCGGGAATTTCCATGACACTAATCCTGGCTTTGGTGATAATCTTCATTGTGTCGCGAGTGCGCTCTAGAAAGCTGCACACGTTGCACAGCATAGACCAGACCAAGATGGGAGGACCTATTTCAGGACTGCCCGTGAATTGCTGCTCTAACGTCGGTCCCACGCCCAGTCCAGCGGGTCCTCTGGCTTCTATGGCTACTCTCAGCGCCTACAATGCTCAGAAAGAGTGGGACCAAGTGTCCGCTTACAGCAACAGAAGCATTCCACGGCCTCGGATCTTCCCTATTGATCGACAAGGTTCATTGGATACATTTAAATAAAATTAATTAATTAAGGGGAAAATCTGGACCTGAGACTCGAAGCTCCCTGGCCCGGGGATTCCCCTTAATTAATTAATTAATTTATTAATTAACAATTTAAATGATTTAAAAAAACATTTGTAGGGTCTATGTCACGTGGTCCATGTATAGACGAAGTAAGGTCGCAGGCGAGTCATTACGGAGGTAAAATATCATCGCGCTCAGTAGCTGATGGTCAGTCACAACACAGCTTTGGGAATAACTCATCACGTTATTTTGCAAACACTGCTCTTGCTAACAATCTCGTCAATACAAGACCAGGTACTTGATAATGAACCAGGGATAAAAAGAAATAAATCTAAACCTAGATGTAGATCTATTCTTCTAAATGCTTAACATTTCTTCTCTGGCACTATCACCTGAATTCTGAAATCAAATCTGATTGATCCTAAAAATAATATAATAAAATATTTCTTTACTAATTTTATTAATTGAAATTTTATAAATGTAAAAGAAAATATTTATCGCGACAGAATTACGTCAGTCGCGACAGTCACTAGCTGCGGCATCTGATCGTATGTCACGTAATGGTTACCCAGGGAATAATAATATGCCACCACACGCATCGGCGCGTCGCCAGCGCCCAAGATCGAGGAACCGTACGATGGAACCGAGCCACCAGCAACAACAACAGCCACCACCTCCAAGACCGGGCAGCCGGTACAGCTTGGCTGACTCAACTCACACACTTAATAATTACGAAGAAAGTAATTGGACCGATCATGATATGGACATTTACATGTCACGCAATCCAACAACCAGGAGCGGTCTTGTACCGCTTTAAATTTATTATTTTCATTGATAGATTTATTATATAAATTAATAAATTAAGTAAAGTAAAAAAATCAAAAATGTCGGCTAACTTTATTATTATTTTTTAATCAATATTACATGAGTATAAAAATATGTATAAAAAAATTTATAAATTTTTACAGAGAA